GGCCAGATGGAAAGCGTGATTCATCACTCCAGAGAACGCGTCTCCACTGCTCTAGAGGCCAGTGGCGGCGTGCTTTCCACCATTGCATCCGACGCTTTGCATTGCACTTGGTGATGTGTGGCTTGGCTGCAGCTGCTCGGCCATGGAAACCCATTTCCATGAAGCTCTCTGCGTACTGTACTTGGGCTAATCTGAAGGTCACGTGAAGCTTGTAGCTCTGTAGCAATTGACTGTGCAGAAAGTCGGCGACTTGCTTGATTTTATACACCTGTGGCCAGGCCAAGGGATTAGGACGCCTGATTCTGATCATTTGAACGGGTGAGCGAATACTTTTGGTAATATAGTGTATTTTGTGGACTATAATATTGCACAGATGCACGTGACACAAAACGCTGTCAGAGACAGACTTTAATGTGTAGCCACTATCTGGCTGGTCAGTTTTAAGTCGAAAATGTGTCCAGTACCTTGGCCTCAGAAGCAGCCAGCTCCCTCTCTTCCCTCTCCAGCTTCATCACAGCATAGACGTCTTTCTCCAGTTTGCTGATGAGATCTCTGAACTTCAGGATAACATCTGGGTTAAACCAGAGACAGAGAGGTCAAAGGTGAAGACAGGTGGACGGTCTAGAGCATACGTGTCAAACTCAAGGCCCGGGGGGGGAGGGGGGGGGGGAGGGGCGCAAATGAGGCTCGCCAAGCCGTGTTGTGTGGTCCACGGGAGTACCTGCAGCAGAGTTTCTTAACCTGAGAAAGTTTTTTTTTTTTTTTTTATAATCAATCAATCAAATAATAATCGTGTTTATTTCTGTTATGGCGTACTTACATCTATACCTGGTCCGCCAGTACCACCTGTTACTACAGACCGGCTTGTATCAGAGTCTGAATGACCTATTATTTTTTAAAATATTGACAGATTATCTTTAAATAAAGAAAGTAAATGGATATGACTGGATTTTCTTTAAATAATAAATTAGTAAAAATTAAGTACATTTTTTCCCCCGTGTCAAAGTGTCCAAATGAGTTTGACACCCCTGGTCTAGAGCCATTGCAAAACGGAGGTGTTTGTACCTGGAGGGAGGACTCGAGCCTTCACAGTGTTCCGGGCACTTTTCACCACTTCCTTTAACGTCTTCCTTTCTGATTCTCCGACTAAAGAGACAGAGCGCCCCGAGCGCCCAGCTCTGGCTGTGCGTCCAACTCTGTGGACATAGTGTTTGATGGTGGATGGCATGGTGAAGTTTATGACCTGAGGAGGAGGAGAAGGAGACATTGGGATTAACAACCCAACCCCAGAGAACCACCAGAACCTCTGCTGCAGCACTATGATCAAACCAAGCAACAACCTCAGAGGAACCACAGTCACAGTCACATCAACCTCACCGTTTTGACACCGTCAATGTCCAAACCTCTGGCTGCTACGTCTGTGGCCACCAGGATGTCGATCTGTTCGTCTTTAAATCGCCTGGAGAACGAAACCCAGTCAGATAAGAATGTTCCTGTTCTGCACCACTCTTCAGTCCAGCTTCCATCTGTGTGTGTGTGTGTGTGTGTGTGTGTGTGTGTATACCTGAGGTTCTCCAGTCTCTGGCTCTGACTCAGTTCTCCATGGAGTTCTCCAACCTTCAGACCCACCAGCCCCAGCAGGATGTGGAGTCTGTGAGCCTGTTTCCTGGTCTGAGTGAACACCATCACATGATCCTGGAAGGTCCTGGTCAAAAGAGCTAAAAAAAAAAAAAAAAAAAATTACACAACCGCTAGGATTACCCACCACACCGATATTTGACTACCTCCAGTACTTCAACTCCTTGACCGAGTTACTCACCCGCTACCACAGCCTCTCTGTCTCCCTCTCTGTTGGCTCGGATCCTGACAAACTCCTGTCTCAGAAACGGAGCAACGTCGGTGTTGCTGTTCACAAAGATTCTGACAGGTTCCTTCAACGAAACCGCAGCCAGGTCCTTCACCTGAGAACACGTGACAGTCACATGACGCGCTTAGTCAGACAGGTCACGTGACACACCTCGACGCAGGTGATCGGGGAAAGTGCTCACCTCCTCAGTCATGGTGGCTGAAAACAACATGGTCTGTCTGTTGTAGGAACACAACCTGATGATTTCCTTCATCTGCTCCTCAAAGTACTCATCCAGCATCCTGAGACGGGTCGGGGGCATAGAGAGGAAGGGGGAGAGAGAGAAGGTGAGGGCAGAGACAGACAGGTGAGAGCATAGAGAGGGAGGGAGGGAGAGGGGAAAGGTGAGAGGTGAGGGCAGAGAGAGAAAAAAAAGGAGAGAAGATGAGGACAGGGAGAGCAACGAAAGAGAGGAAGAGACAGGTGAGAGAGACAGACAGGAAGAGAGAGAGAGAGAGAGAAAGGTGAGGTCAAAGTTCACCTGTCAGCCTCATCCAGGATCAGGATCTCGATGTGAGAAAGCTCAAAGCTCGGTGTGTTATGCAGGTGATCGATCAGTCGACCAGGCGTAGCAATAAGAATATCGGGGCCCGCTCTTAAAGCTGCTTCTTGAGACTTTAGGTCCAACCCACCTGGAGAAAGGAAACAACCGTTTTACACGCCGAACAAAGCTCACAATTGCACAAAAGTCTCAGTTTGAGCTTCGTACCGACGGCCAAACAGGTGGTGATCGAGGTGAACTGAGCCAGCTGTCGAGCCACAGAATGAACCTGGATCCCCAGCTCTCTGGTGGGAACCAGAACTAGGACCCGTGTCACCTGGGACGTCCTGGGTTTATAGACCAAACGCTCTAACACTGGCAACATGAAGGCTGCCGTCTTCCCTGAGATCGGAGAGAGATTCTTGAATTAAAACAGCATTGTTCAAGTCTCACTTCCTGGTCCAGAACGTAGAACCTGGGTTACCTGTTCCAGTAGCAGCACAGGCACAAAGGTCTTTACCCAGCAGACCCACTGGAACACAGGCCTTCTGAATGGGGGTCGGCTGTTTGAAGCCCAGAGCCGTGATGGCCTGCGGGGACACAGTAGTACATCAGCAACAAACGACTGGACCAAACTACTACAGACAGAAACTGACAACAGACCACAAACTGCAACTACTGACAACACCACATCTTCAGGAGGTTCTGACAATCAAACTACTGAATGTCATCAAGAAATTCAAAAGAACTAAACTGGACCAAGACCTCAGAAGGCTGTAACTTCACGCTGCAGGTGGGGCTGTGGCAGCAGACAGGCGTCTTACCTTCAGGATGGGCCTGGACAGGTTCATGCCATCGAAGGTCAGCTGATCATCGAACTGAGATGCGTCTTCAGAGAATGACTCTGCAGCCTTTAGCACAGACACAGCTGTTGGTTAGCATGGTTAGCAGGAAGGCTATCTTGCAACATCATTTGCTCCTCCTCCTCCTCCTCCCTCTCACCTTCCTTGCGGCTTTCTTCCTCTTCCCTCGTTGCTCCTTCTCCCTCAGAACATCTGACCAGAGACCGGGAGAACATCCATCAATGTTCAATTGTCTTTTTTGAAATTTGAAGTTAGGACGAACTTTGACACAAGTCACCTGATTTGGTCAGAACTTCCTCATCGCTTGTGTCAAACTCATCTTCCTCCTCTTCATCATCATCATCATCATCGTCCTCCACCTGGTCATCTTCTTCATCTTTGTCAGCGTCCTCAGTTCTCACAGGTTCTTTGCCATCCTCCTGGTTCTTCCCTGAGGGAACCTCAGCAGGATCTGACTGACACACTTTTTCCTGCAGGTCAAAACAAACACCACACTTACAAATAGATAGACTGTATACTTTATTGATCCCACGGGAACTAGTGCTTGGCCAAATAGGAAGTAGAGCTGCAGCACTCACCTCTGCTTTCCTCTTTTTCCTGATCTTCTCTATTTTCTGGTCCAGAGTTGTCAAAGTTCTCTGAAAACAACAACAAAATCATTGGAACCAGAAGGGAGGAGCATAAGGAGGTGGACCACATGGCATCACACACACGTACACACACACCTTGATCTTCAGCTGTTTCATCACGTCGGCTGACACCCACGCATCATCACAGGTCAGAGTGTCTCTCTCCCGAAACACAAAGTCACTGTTGAAGTCTCTGGACCCAGAACCTTTCAGTTTCTTCTTTCTATTCAGGACAATCTTCTCCTCCTTACACATACATACACACACACACACATCATTTACTACAATCCAGAAACAGAAAAACAACTGTAAACATGGTGAAACCAAAACCCTGGAGAAGGTCTACATGTGATTGTTTGTACTTATGTACTTAATATCCCGTCTGGAGCAAAGACAGAGACAGGGTCAGTCAGAGGACGAAGGACACTGTCATTTGAATTTTAGTCAACGAAATATAACTGACGTGAAGGCAGAACAGACTCACTTCACTTTAGTGAAATATTTTTGTTTCTTTTTGACGGGAACAAATGAAGAAATGTTTGGGAAATTATTTATTGTTTTTTTTTTTCTTCTCCTTTTTATTTTTTGGTATCTGTTCTCACCTCTTCTTCAGACTGGCTGTCGATTTCCTCTGGACTGTGATCCTCATCCTGGATAGTTCCGATCAGACCCAGTTCTTCGAACATGGCGCAGCCGAAAACGACGCGAACGGCGGACTAAGAATTTGATATGCGCTAAAATAATGCTAAACCGAATGAAGGAATGTTTATAAAACTTCCAGTCTGACTGTAAGACTGCACTCGGCTGTCTGCGCACATTCAAAAACACACGTGTGTTGACGGAAACAGGAAGTACATTTATTTGTTTCCGGTTCACGGGGTGACGTTTTCAAAATAACCAACATGAGCAGGAAATAATTAAAAAAAATAAAAATAAAAAATTAACTACGGTTCACGTGCTAATACTGCACAGTATCCAAATCGTATTGCTGCTAGTTTCATTTAAACTCGCCTTTGTTAATCCTGCCTTTGAACGTATTGAGTAACAGTGACATAGTTATTGACCTCATCCTAACTCCGGCGAATGTACTGATCCTGACTTTTCGTTTGCATTCGTGCTAACAATAAACAGCATCAACATGTATTGTAATTTTAAGTGTAGCTAACATTTCTATCAACAGTTCATGCCCTGTCTTTATCCATCAATAAATGTTTTTATTTCATCAGAACCAGACTGGTCCACCGTACCAGGCTCCTGTGGTCCACAATGAGATCCAGGTCTGATAGGGTCAGTTTAAAAAAAAATACAAAGCAACCTGTGAGGTCTTCCTAGAAAACTTTGTTATTCTTCAAAAACCTCAGCGACGTCAACATGTGATGTCATCAGACCACACTGAGGTCAGATCTTGGACCTGGACTGGTCTTCACAAGGACACAAGAACTAGACCACACGCACAAAGAAAACACACTTTGAAAACACACACTCCCACATGCTGTGTGTTCAAAGTGTGGGATGGGGGATGGAGGAGGTGGAGTCAGAGAGAGTGTGTGCATCAGAGTGAAGAGAGACAGAAAAACACAATTTATCAACCACAGAAGCAGCAGATCCAGGACTACAACCAGGACCAGGACCTAGACCAGGACCAGGATCAGGATCTAGTGTGAGCTACAGCGGCTTCAGTCTTTTGATCTGACAGACACATCTCTGAGCAGATTCAGATTTTAAAGGTATAACAAGTGACTTTTGACCCCTCCCCCTGGTGGCTCTACACCAGGGGGGAGATTGCTGCCATCACTTACACTTGTATTGACTGCTCCTATTTATATATTTATTGAAATGTGAGATTTATATTTAGGTTATTTTGTCTATGTTTTGAAATAAGTGGGAAACAACCTTTAGCTTTTGCAGTGTTCTTCCAGTCATGGCTAACTTATGGCTGTCAAATGATCTAACCATCTGTCCAAACCAGGGGTCACCAACGTGGTACCCTGAGCCATGTGGTACACCCCATTGACTACCTAGGGTTCCCGTGGGGTTTGTTGTATGTATAAAACTAAAAAAAAAAAAAAAAAAAAAAAGGAGGGTCAAAAATTGTTTTGCTCATTTTGAATCAGTTACACTTGTACACTTTGTAATATATTTACTCAACTGAGCGTTTTTTTTTAATTAGCATAACAACCTGCAACTACTTTTTGTACCTGTTTTTTTTTTTTATCACTTTGATTCAACAATATGTTTTTATTGTTTGCTATATTTTTGAATGACTCCTAAGTTTTTTTTTTGTTTTTTTTTTTTGTCAAATGGTGGAAACGTTTAAATCTCAGATTTATGAAGAGCAAAAATGATGATGTCACTCACCAGCCCATCGGCCGTTCTTGGACACTGCCCCTTTTTTCTTGCGTTTTTTTTTTTTTTTTTTTTGCTTTGAATCCTCTACTGAAGCAGGGGGTAAAGGTCACACTGGGTGGAGTGTATTTTAATTAAAGACCAGTACTCAGCGATTAGTGGCCAAAGCAGCTGACTTCTGATTGGTAGTCCTCACAGAGCTATAAACCAACGAACAGATTACAGACTGTGTGTGCGTGCGCGTGTGTGCGTGTGCATGTGTCTTTATTAGACTCTGGGACTGTCAAAATGAGATGACATCTAACTAAACACCCGCAAAATGCTAGTATGAAAGAGTTGGGTTAGCGTGGTTAAGGTTAATGAGAGAGAGAGAGAGAGAGAGAGAAAGGCACAGAGAGAGGGAGAGAGAGGCAGAGTGAGAGACAGAGACAGAGAGTGGCAGACAGGGAGACAAAGACTTGTTTGTCAAACACAGGTTACTGTAGTTCAAGTGGAAGTGTTCATGTGGATGACACCGTCTGAGGAGGTTCAGCTGTGAACACACAGGCTTTCCGTTCCGACGCCACAGGACAATCCGAGGACAGCCTGTCCACAATTGAAATTGAAGCAGATTACAGTCTTACTGTAGACCGGGGGGTGTCAAACTCAATTTGGTCTACGGGCCGCATACAACCAAATTTGATGTCAAGTGGGTCGGATCAGTACAATCATAACCTGATTAAATGTAAATAACGGTCCATGATCCCCTTTGTTACTGATTAAATTTAAATAACGGTCCATGATCCCCTTTGTTTTCATGCAAAGAAGTACAAGTGCATTAGATATTTATTCATATTTAAAAAAATCATTTTACAAAAAATTAAAAAACTTAGCATGAAGTGTGTAATTTTAAAAATGGAATCAAACGGGCCAGATAAAACCACCTAGCAGGGCCAGTTTTGGCCCACGGTTCAAATTCAAAAAATCAAACGGGCCAGATAAAACGACCTAGCATGTTTGACACCTCTGCTGTAGACAGTCTGTGGACATATGGACAATAGAAATAGAAAGCCGGGGGGGGGGGGGGGGGAGTATGATCCTGGTTCTTATATTTCTTTGTCCCTTTTCCAGGTGTGTGTACATGTGTGTCCAGAATGACTTCCTGGCTTGTCTCCTTCTTCGTCCTCCTGTCTCTGGGATCCTCCATCTCTGCTGCCGTTGAACCTGCTGGCTGTAAAATCCGCATCACCGACAAAGGCCTGGAGATGTGTGAGTACATGACGATGACGAAGTGCACTTTAAAGACAATAGTGTAGTACTGTTCGTAGTACACAGTACCACAGCCCAGTAAGTGGGAAAACTGCAGCTTGAACTCCTGCGATGCTGCGGCAACAGGACCAGGAGCTCAGAGTGAGCTTGTCTGAGTGTGTCCAAGAACAAAAACAGGGGGTTGTTTGTGTTTGTGTCTGCAGTGAAGGCAGAGACTCTGAAGTTTGTGGAGGAGGAGCTCAGTAACATCAGTATGCCTGAGATGAAAGGCGACGAGGGACGCTTCCAGTACACCATTACTGAGTACGAACATCTTCTCATCATATCGCCTTAACCAAGGCTCTAAACAAATGGACAAAGGGGACAGGAAGTAGTTCCTCTGGCTGTAAAAACAATATCATTTACTGTATATAAAAGTAGGGGGAAAAAAAAGAGTGGACAGCTAGCTGGTCCAATAGGAGCCTCCTCTGTGTGATTACCACAGTTTCTGTTTTTTTTATTGTGTCCTTTGCCTAAGTGTCTCCATTGACTTTAGCGGTCTCCGTCTGTCCTCAGCGTGAAGATCATCGAACTGAATCTGACCCACGCTGATCTCAGTTTCGTCCCTGACGTCGGTTTGATGTTCGACGTTCAGAACTCGTCCATCACGTTGAGTTTTCAACGGAAGATCCTCTACTGGTTCTTGTGAGTGGATAAGAAACCGGATTCAGAAGCGTCGCTCTCTGTAAAAGAATTGAAATATTGGGCGATAAAAATGTTCTTCTTGTCTTAGTTACGACACTGGCAACATCAACGCATCGGCTGAAGGTGTGAACATTAACACCATCCTCAACCTGGTCAGAGACGACGAAGGTCGGCTAAAGATCAGCAACATCACCTGTGACGCCAATATTCATAGGATGAGAGCCAAGTTCAGCGGAACTCTGGGGTAAAACTCTGCCGGAGATGTAAATGATCATTGATGACAGAACGCTCTGTAGTTTTTTTTCCTAACAGTTTCGAACTATTTCTGGAGTTCCTCAAAGCTCACTCTTCACCTCACACCTCGATTTTTTTCAAGTTGCTGAAATCTTTCTTTTATATCTGGGTCATAATGACATTTGTTGTCCAATCGGAGGGCCAGACGACATCTTTTTTTTTCTTCTTCAGGAGGGTCTATGACTTCCTGGCCAGTTTCCTGACCACAGGCATGCGCTTCATCCTTAACCAACAGGTTCATCTTTACCTCATTGTCTCCTTGGCTGCGCGTGTCTCATCTCAGATCTGTCCGGCTCTGGATCATGCCGCCCTGGTTCACGTGAATTCCATGTTGGAGACGATTCCCGTGAAGACCGAAGTGGATGATTACATCGGTATCGATTATTCTCTGGTCGATCATCCAGTGCTGACGTCCAGGAGCCTAGACATGCACTTCAGGGTCAGAGACACTTTGACGCCGTCAGCTGACGTCACCTCGTTAATGACAACGTAACAGCTTTTCTCTGTCTGGAC